GCGATTACCAAATCGTTTATCAGATCAATTGTGACACCGTGCCGTTTGAGGATGCCTTTGCCGAGAATTATTTCGGTGGTCTCTTCCACAGTGAACATGACATGCCTGATGAGCGTTTCTCCTATCCTGCTTAGCAACCGCTGCGTGCCCGTCATCGATAAAGTATGTATATCGTGTTTTATTGATCAGGTCCGGAGCCATGAGCGCCTGCACACAGGTGCTAACATACACCGATACTCTGAATTGCTAACTGTTCAATGACTTAAATTGCTTTGCCCGCAGGAGTGTGATGCGACACAGAGAGGTGACATGTGTGCCTACGACCGCAGGACACACCGAGCCGCTCAGCTGTGAGAGGTGACAGCAACCACCACAGCCATAAGCGACCTGTCATGCGTGGATCGCAGGGCAAGACCAAGCGAACGCACACCATTCTTCGCTGAGAACTGAACGTTAGCCAGACACCACAGCCGCAATTAATGAGTCATACTTCGACCGCAGGGCAAGCACAAGGAAACGCCCGCCATTTCGCTGTTAGCAGTGAAGGTCAGCAAGCACCACATCCTCAATCGACCTGCCATGAGTGGATCCCCGGGCCGGACCAAGGGAACGCACGTACTTCAGCTGTGAGAACTGGACGTGAGCCAGACACCACAGCCGCACTGAACATTACACATTTCACTCGATCGATAGTCGGTCTTAACCCATATGAAAAAGCTAGCAAAATGGTTCCCTGTAAATTGGTTACCGGGTCGCTGTGCTAGCAACTGAAAAACTGCCTGGCCGTATGTGATGACCGGTTGATGGGTGCCGTATTGCTATCGCCACAAGTGCTGTCATGGCATCATGACGTGCTTGCAACAAACCCGTAAGCTTTTATTAGGTTGCTTTTGCTGCTAAAGGGAATAAAACTGCTAAGGGCATATTGTAAGTTTACTGTGTTGTTCGCTTCTCGGTTTCGAGCGTGTGTGTGTTCCAGCTGAACATACGCCCTTCCTGGGTGTATAAAAAAGAATTCTTGACTTGACACGCCAAAGATCTTAGCTTTCAGTCTGCTCCGACCAACGAGTGACACCGGTAAACAGCATACCAATTTAGTCAAGAATACAACTATTGCCATCACAGTCAAACAATTATTACCTGTACAAGTTGATCAGGCCTTCGGTGGTATTTCCCAAGCACAATCGAGAATATACATGTGTGCATTTCTTGACTTATATTTACATGAAATGTGTGCAGTGTCGGTAAATATCAACGGATTAGATGTTCCAAATGCCCGCCGTCCATTTTGCTACAGAAAAGCATTCGCGGAATGGTGTTGGCTAGCACTTTACGCAATGTCTCTGCCAACATACGTTCACAATGTTCTCTTTCAGTTTGTCCATGTTGTTGGGTTTCGTTCTACGAAACCTGCGCTTCAAGTATTTCCATAGGAATAGGTCCATGGGACTCAAATGCAGTGATCGCACAGTCCTTTCTATTGGTCATCTGCGACTCATCCAACGTCCACCGAATGTTTCCTTCAGGTAGGCACGAAGCGATTGCGCCGAATGTGCAATTGTGTCATCCTGCAACCACCAAACTTTGTTCATTAACCCTTTCGACTGCAACTGCGGAATGACGATGCTCTGCAACATTTCCGTGTACGGGGATGCTAAGCAATGTCAGATCTTAATACTGTTAAACAACAACCTACCGGACACACTCCTGGAAAAGTAAAGAGGCTCAATGATTTTTCGACCAGCCAGCCCAGACCGTGAGCTTTGCGCTTTGTTGCACGCGTAAAGCGCTATATTGCCATGGGTTTGTTATTGCCCAAACATGTTGTGTATCTTGACCATACAGAGGGAAAACAGCCTCATCACTGAACAACAGGAGATGCACATTCAGACTGTCTCAAAACATACGGACGAATTCCAAGCGCTTTTGAAAATCGCATGTGTTCAACACTCACACCTGCAGTGCGCTGCACCGTCAGAATACTTTTTCTTTCAATATCCTATGCAAAGCATACGGTGTGTTTTCGCAATTTTGTGAGAGCTACCGAATGCTGAGATGCCTGTTATTGCATACCTACTGCAAAACCGCCCAAGCTGATACTTCATCCGTGACGGTGCATGGCTGTCCGGTTTGTTTGACGTTGCAAACGCTGCTCGTTTCTGCAAATTTCTTCACCACTCGACGCACATACTGCTCGTTAATGTGCCGCGTAACGCATTATTATGGCGTCTTGTGGTATCCGCGAAGTTGGACCCACACTCTCCATACAGGTGCACAATAACCACGCGCTGGTGGACCGGCACATTAAATGACTGCGGTTGCTGCTACATCAACGACACCGGTGGAAGCTCCTTATTCATCAATAACTACCTCGCTGGGAACCCATTTTGCTGGCACGTCATCTGCGTGAAGGCCGACTATCGATCGAGCGAATCATAACACGTTCAGTGCGGCTATATAGTGTGTGGTTAACGTCCAGTTCTCACAGCCCAACCACGTGTATTCTCTTGGTGTTGCCCTGTGAGCCAAGCATAACAAGTCGCTTGTGGCTGTGGTGTTTGCTAACTTTCACCTCGCACAGCCGAATGGCCCGGTGTACCCTGCCATCGTAGGCACACATGTCGCGTCTCTGTATCCCCTCTCACGCCTGCAGGCAAAGATATTTGCGCCATTGGACAGCTAGCAATTTAGCGTACCCGTGTATGTCAACACATGAGTGCAGCCGCTCCTTGCTCCGGACCAGATTAATAAAAATCCTTATACACTGACGGTCGGCATCAAGATTGAGGACCGAAACTCCTTCGAACCGTTTCGTAATGAACCCTTCTGCTCCCGTGTCCACTTTGATCCTGATCGATACACTTTTTATAGTCAACTAGAGAACCGGTACGCATTATCTTCTCGGCCAACCTAGAAACAATGGTACAACTTGCAGTTGGTATAGGAGCTAGCCACATGACCCACCTGATTGCATTCAAAAGCAGCGGCGACCGTCCCGGCTTCCATGTTCATTGCGTTGTGTAATCACTCTCGGAGTCTCCCTCGATAACGGCTTCTCCACTATCCCGGCTAGTTTGTAACTCCGTGTTCTAACTCGGATTGCTGGACTCTCCCCACTGTCACTCGCTCCAAAAAATTCTGGGCAACGGTCGCCGGATCCTCCGCTGTGCTCTCTCCAACGACCGCTGCCAACGTTACCTTGCCATGGAGTGGGTTCTGCAGGCTTCGCACAAATTGCCGTGAGAGCAGCCGTCCTCTTGCGTTACTCTTCAACTCGAAGTACCTAGTCGCCAAATGTCTGTCCAGTTGCGGGAAAAACACCATCAAGTCCGACTGTTCGTCCCATCTGGTTGAGTGAAAATGCTCCATTGTTCGCTGTCGCTCGCCTTCCTCCCCAAATTCAGCACACAATGCCACCCTCATCTCAGCGAACGAACAGCCAGGAATTGGCCTTCCGAACGAGCAAATACACCGCCTTCGCTCTACCGTACGATAGCATGCCCAAAGCAGTTAACAACTTGGCGGCGCATTTGACCCCGTTGAATGCAGTGATGGCCTCAAATCTATCGAGCCAGGAATGCACCTCTCCGTGCACGAAATGTGCTGGCCAGGTCACCTTCATACTGATTGCACCCATCACCAGTGTAGCAAAACGACGTGGGGGAGGGAAGAGCGTGTATTACCACAAGGATCTGCCATTGACAACGCACAAATCCGTACATATTTGGACCGTGTTTCCTTCCCACGACGCAACGCGGATATGGGTTTTGTGACAGGCTATTCCAAGTTCCTGCGAGGTTGGGCTGCGAAATAGCCCCTCCAAATTTTCATCCCGTAAATTCGTTTCGCTACATTCGAATCTGGTCGGACAAAAGTCGTTCGAAAGTGCGTGATTTACTCTTCCGTGGCTGCGTCATTCAACCCGCGCTCATTCCTGTGGACTTTGCTGCCGCGTATTTGTCTGATTCATAGCGTTCTCAGCAGGTACCTCCTCCATTGTTTTGTACCCTGGTTCCTTACCAGATACCGCCCGTGATCCACTGTCGGCTCGATTCGCAAGGCTCACAATGCGTTGTTTTGTTTGATCTACTGTGCCCGTTGTTACTTCTCTACCATCCCGTTTTTCTTGTCTTTCCGTTTTATGAGTCGTCACAGGTTTCCACCGCCCTACACTATCACCCAGCACGAGGTGCAAACGATGGAACGGATGTAGTGTGTACCTAGTAGGCTGATCCCCAGTTTACGGTGAGTGCGTACGAAGGCCCATGCAATATTCTGGGCTTCCCACCCTGTTTTTTTCGGTTACAAGTTGACTTTATAGTGACCCGCGGTATACTACACCTGATTCAATTCTCTATGTCAGGGGCATTACTACACAAACACACAGTAAGCTGCATATGCGGATAGCGGCGTAAGCTTGTAGTACCGAATTTGAGCTGGCAGCTCACCCACTTTACTTCGAGTTATGAGATATTGTAACAATAGCTGAAACTATAGTCAAGGAAAAATCGGTGTGGAGACTCAAGTATTTGATCGACACCGAATCCGCGAACTTAAGGTTCAGAAAATGTATCGCACTGTACATCTGTGCTATGTTCAAACTTCTCGTGAGTTAAAAATATTCTCATTTCAAACGATCGTTATAATCGGTGGACGCATAAAATGACGGGTTATTTATGCGTTTATTTTTTCAATTTCAATTCTCACTCTAATCATCCTCTGACAAAGCATTTTTATCCGTGATAAATCATTGTTCATAATACGCACACTGTGTAAGTTCGATGGGGTTACAAAGATCTATAGCTTTAACTTCACCAAATTCAATACACTTGTTGGGATTTTAAGACATCGAAGGTGTACAGAATTAGTATGTGTAATGCTCCATTATGCTGCCACAATTTATCACAGAGAAACAACAAACGTTTACGAAGTCCCGAGGAGGTATAGGAGAAGCATTATTGCAAAATCATTATATACTAGATTTTCAAGTTTAATATATGCTTGACATCGTTTTTATGCTGGCGATATTTCAATGAAATCCGTGTGTTTTTGTTCTGTGTCTTCCGATGCCACTTCTACCTTTTGTTCCATCTCATCATTTTGGTCCACTTCGGGTTTCTCTCCCTTATCTTCTTCATGGCTTTCTTCTGGCTCTCTTTGCTCAGGTTCATCCTTATCCTGAAAAATTGTAAGTACTATTTATGCATCGTATCAAAATTTTACACAAATTCACACAAGACATGTTTAGTCCTTACCTTGCCTGAGTTTCCAATTTCAGATGCTTGCGCTAGATTATTTAAAATTACGAAGAAGATGAAAAAATGTCGTGGGCCGTACATTACTATAAATATTTGTTGCGCAACTCACCCGACTCCAGGCTCTCGTTGCACTTGTCTGTGTTGCAGCATACCCGCTTCTCACCGTTCATATCGTACCCCTCGCAGTTCTCATCGCCACACACTCTGCTAAACACCCCACCTTCCGTGTACTGAAGCAACGTAAAAGTGAGCGACGTTAACATTTTCACACAAACGGAACACTTACTATGCAAGTTGTGCACCCTTTCACAATGGTGCAACCTTTGATCTCTTTTTGCAGACAGTGGTAACAGAAGATGCCATCTAAAACGAAACAGAAGGAGACCGGGTCCGTGAAAACGGGTGAATGGTAGTTTTGAGGCTTATATGGAACGGCATCAACAGAGTTCTTACCTCTGCCATAAACAGCATTAAGCGAAACTGTTAGGAATATTAGTGCCAATATCATGTTCTCTCCGTCTTCTTCCTCGACGTCAAAACAATGTAATCCATTTATAGTCAGTGGCCTCTGGGCTCCGGTGTGGAAACTTGGTCGATCCAATGGGTGCTTTTCCAGGTGTTTCAGTGATAACAAAAGATAACACGTGTATTGATTGATTGCTTGTTCCTTTAGCTTCTTTTGTGGACCACCTGCGTCGAGAAACGATTAAACAGCGGGCGGGAATGGGCTAAACTAGTTGCTAAACTGGTTACATACCGCATCAACGTTGTAGGCCTGCCGCCCCCCCCCCCACCACGGCTACGCGTGGGAACTAATTACTAGATTTACTGCACAGTTGTGGGGAGGTGATTTTAAGCGGGTTTTAAAGATAATCAATTGGAATTTCTGCTTTGTAACGGTTCGCTTTTGACCCCGAAATTTCCATCTGGCCAAGTGAACTGATACATAACTGGCATGTCATTTATAACGAACTGGGAGGATAACCATGAAAAAGTGGAATCTTCTAGGGAGTATCCGTCGTTGTAAGTCGACGCATCATCTTAGGTTTTCCAACAAATTGAGAAAAGTCGCACGTTGTAAGCGGTACGAGGTCAATACGCGTAAATGCTTGTCAGCAACGGGGGTGGAAGTAGTTTGATGTTCTTTCCTAAGCTACCTCACCGCTCAGCCTATTTTAGGCGGTATCTGTTCTCCAACGCAAGAACTACCCAGCTATCTGATAAATCTGTTTCATTGTTTGCCAGGGAGAACGAAGACCTTCGTGTGGTTCAAACTTGACCCTCCATTTATTCATTTACCGTTGTGCCAAGCGTTGCCCACCGTGACCCGGTAGCCAAAGGGGTAGAGGTTTCGGCTACTATTCCAATGGTCGAGGGATCGAGGCCAGCTGTCTCTACCTGATGAGATGAAATTACATCGAAACGCGTCGTGGTTGTGCAGTGTTTTCGGGTGGGCAACACCAATTTCTATTCGTAAAGAATGCTTATAATTTCGCACTAAATGTAGCAGATCTTACAATGGAATCTGATGAAGTGATTATCCCTTTTAACATTAGTTCAATCTTAGCGTGCCGCAGCATGAAACCTTGTGGCCAACAAAAAGTTACTTAACAGATGAAACTACTCAGCGAAGGCGCACAAAACCGGCGGTATATCAGATAACAGAATGACTCCTATTGTGCTTTGACATGTGACCTTTTACGTCCCAAACAATACTATACACTAAAAAGTAGCATACGACTAAGGGATCACAAATCCCTCCCGATTAGCAAGTTTGTACATGAAAGCTATTAAAACGTGAGCACTGATTAGCTTTACTGTGTCATAAAAAACTTCATGGCACTACCTCAATGACACGTGTTATCATAAAACAGGATAAAAAGGGGATGTTTTTTACATCTTTTGAACGCTGAAAATGAGAAAATATTGTATTTGGAATTTGTATTGTTACAGAGGCATCCGCCGACCTGAGCCCGAGCGCCAATGTAGCTACACTGGCGCGAAAGGCTAGCGTTCGCCTAGCCCTCCTTGGACGTGCACTAGGGTCTTTCCCTAGAGAGACATTTGTCCGTCTCTATAGCACTTTAGTACGTCCGCTGCTGGAGTACAACATACTTGTCCAGCCGCCGTACCTGAAGAAGGACGAGGCCATGCTGGAAACTGTACAGCGCAGAGCCACTAAGAGAGTGGACGGACTATCCCACTTCTCGTATGAGGAGCGTCTGGCGGCCCTTAACCTCTTCCCGTTGAAATATCGCAGGCTTCGTGGCGACCTTATCTTAGCTTCTTCCGTCCTGACTAATAACAGACACCCAAACGCAGGATTGCTGGTCCGCGCCCGTACAGATCATCTTCGAGGGCACTCACTCAAACTGATGACTCGTAGCAGTCGCCTTCTGTGCCGAAGAAACAGTTTCAGTGTGCGTACTGCCTTCGCTTGGAACGCCCTCCCCGAAACTGTTGTCTCAGCGCCCAATACGGAGGCCTTCAAACAGCGCCTAGACGCTTGGCTCTTACCTCGCTGGTCTTCAACGTTGTTAAGATCTGGCCATTTGCCAAGCTAACACGTGGCGCTTCCATCATTTTGCTTCTATTCAACTTTGCCGAATTTACCTACACCACTCTCTTGTTCCAGGTATCCACGTTCCCACAGTCAACTCGCTGAATTCTGGTGCTGAACACCACTACTGCGTCGAGAACCATAACATCTGGTACCTACCGAAGAGATCAGGACCTTGCCGTAAGATCCCGAGGCAGAACCACCGAAAAGCTACGCTTGCTCGTTCTGCGCAAACCCGTGAAACCCGTGAAACCCGTAATTCACCGGAATGGAAGAACCCTGAAAGCAAACATTCCTCGTAAACAGATAACCACATATGGGGTGATTCAGTACTTAGTATCAACGAAAGCACATATATGCGGGAATAGCTTGGTGAGGCGCTTGATTGCGCATGAGGACTGTGACTGGCGTCCATCGAATATTTTGTAAGTGCTGAAGCAACTTCGCCTTCCGGTTCATCTGGGGCAACTGTCGCGTGTCCCATCCAGTTACGGATCCACTGGAATATGCACAGGATTTAGGCGGATGCGTTTAAATCCAGATTTGGCATGTCCGTGGTCGACCGACACTTGTCGCAACTCAACGTGAGCAGCTGCAAGACACTCTGCATGCGACGCCAGCGCACTTATTCCTACAGGGTAGAAGAGCAAGTACTGCAACGATCTTCCATCATACATGACCTGCGCGCGCTGATTCAAGTGGACTTGGGTTGTGTCACGCAACTCCAAAAGCCGTCGAAATCCGGAAACTAACACCTTGGTTTGCTGCTAATGGCATTCGGACAAATTGGCGTCTCTGTTTTCCGACAGACGATCAGTGCATATGTGTTGTATCTCGAAAAAAACAGCAGACCAGCGCAGCACCAGAACGTATGTATGGAAAAAGCTGTGTGAACATACGCGCGTTACAAATAAATCGATAGACGTTCGAACAGCAACTAATCAAATGTAAAGTCACATGACTGGCCACCGAGTGCTACATAGGAGTGTGTGTAGGCTAAGCGAATCGAGGACAAAACAAAGCAAAGTATTTGAACACAAAGTTGTCCCATCCTTTGTCCATAAAAATTTAAGTACTACATGCCCATGAAGGATCTAATTTAATGTCAGCATCCGGAGAATGATCATGTGGTGTTACCCGTTAAAACTTATCGGTAGAAAGAGCGGCGTACTCGGCCGGGACGTCGTGGGGTTGTATTAGCTTATACCGTGCGCTGTGTTGTAAGTGTGTTCGTCTATTCAATACCTCGTTGGGAAAGCGTTGTAGGTAGCTGCGTTGCATTCACCTTTGTCTCATCAGACAACATGTTAGTCCTTGGCTTGCACACAGATTCCACAAGGGTCTGGGGTCCAAACACATTACCTTTCCGGGAATAGGGTAGTTACACACTAACAAATCTCCTTGGAGGAAACATTTTCCCAAGGCGTCTATATTTAGCCTGGTAAACAGTCCGTCTTTCATATTCTCTGTGATCGGCGGTTTCTTCGGATGTAAAGACTGCAGAACACGTAAATATATGTCCCAGAGGGATTTGGCATGGCGAAATCACCAGGGTTGCCCGAATGCCGAAACCTGGACTGCATACGTGACACATCGTAACTTCTGTGTGAAACTGATCCGCGAAGACAAGGTCACGCATCAGCAGAAGTTAATGAAGCGATTCTGCACTAACCACAAACTCCTGTACAGGCACATTAACGGCCTTCGAAAGGTAAAGCGAGAGGTTCCGGCGCTGGTCACGGCTGATGGATGCACGCGGTCAGCAATGGAAGCAGCTGATCTCCTACGGCTTCATTACTCCTAAACGTTCCAACAAGTGTCATGCCCAAACATTCACCTCATTTCTAATACTCCACCATCTGGTTTAGAAAACATCACCTTCACTACGGAGGCTGTGCTGAAGAAGTTGTTATCCTTGCGTATTTACAGTTCTCCCGGAGCTGATAACATCCGACCAAAGGCTCTACAGGCATTAGCTAGAGATCTAGCAGAACCACTGGCTGTTTTCTATCAGCGATGTCTAGAGGAAAACCTTATTCCACCAGTATGGAAGCAAGGGATCATCACTCCTATCCATAAAGGAGGTAGCCGCACTGATCCTGCAAACTACCGTCCAATAACACTACTTCCCGTACTATCCAAAGTGATGGAATCAATCGTAACAGACGCGCTGATGCAATATTTGGAAAGCCACAATTTAATAGCCCCAGAGCAACATGGCTTTCGTCAAAAGCATTCGTGTAATACTAACCTATTAATTGCACGTAATAGCTGGACTGAAGCTGTTGATGATGGAGTTGGAGTCGATGTCATCTACCTGGACTTTTCAAAAGCGTTTGATCGTTTAGACCATCGAGTTCCCCTTCAGAAGCTTCGGAACTACGGTATTGGCGATCCAATCCTGAGTTGGATTAGCAATTTTCTACAAGAACGACGGCTAGTGGTGAGGGTCCGAGAATCATTTTCTCATGCAATCGACGTGACGTGTGGAGTACCACAAGGCTCGGTTCTTGGACCTCGTCTATTCTTGGTGTTCATTAACGATTTGGCGAGATCAATTACTTCCGATTTCTTATTTTTCGCTGATGATATCAAGATATGGCGAAGGATCAGAGGACCGGATGACCATGAACGGTTCCAGTGCGATCTTAATACAGTGTCGAACTGGTCAGTTCAAAACGTTCTACCTTTCAACGTAGACAAATGTCGCGTTGTACAATTACGCCATAGACATAACTACACCCACATACTTGGGACAAACGAATTGCAGAATAGCGCCCAGGAATGTGATCTTGGTGTGATCGTACAGAGCGACCTCAACTGTTCAAAACAGGCTGAGGTAGCTTCCAAAAGAGGCAACCAGCACGTCGGCATGCTGCGAAGGGCATTCGGGAGATTTGACCCATCAATCTTCCCAATGATGCTCAATTCCTACGTGCGCCCGCATGTTGAGTACGCAATCCAAGCTTGGCAACCTTGGTTGAAGCGCGACCTAGAAGTGTTAGAGTCACCACAACGGAGAGCAAA